CAACCAGTTATTCTACCTGAAATCAGCTCACATCCACCTGATGACTCAGCTCAATTGGAGACAACTCCTGCCTCCACAAGTCCTATGCTGCATTGATCATCCCGCTCTCACAGATCTCCTCAGAGGTTGGCTGAGGAGATGTGAACTTGAACATTAACAATGAACATCTGTTGTTGTCGCTATTGACTGACTGTTTAGCTATTGAATACTAAGTATTAAGTTCTAAGGACACTCAAGTGGAGGCTTGTGAGCATTGATGATTCGTTTATTTCACTCATAGGAGAGTTATTCTGTACAACAAATCTCCAGGGGGAGGTGTTATAGTGATCGAGGTGTTTTATATTGATTGTTCAGTCATTGGAGTGGTTCTATGAGCCTGCATAGTGTACAGAGGTTGCGTGTATTACCATGTGCTCTTATCAATACAATCTTGCTGCTGGATCTGCCATCTTGTGTGTGTGTTCACTCGCCTAACCCGAAAACATAACAGTCCTTATTACTTGAAGGAAGGAACGTAACATTGAAGTCTATGTTTTGTTGCTTTACAAATGCTAATTAGAGAAATATGGAAAAGTGTGAATTTGGATGTGATCTTAAATCTGTATTCGTAAAAGTTGTAGCTATGAACCACAAACGATAAATTCATGCATTCCGTTCTGAACATAAACGATGAAAAGTTTGTAAAGTTCACACAGCATGAGTTGCAGTTGTTTAATAAAGAATAGCCCTGCAATGTTCTTGCAAGTGTTTGTAAATGTTCATGCAATGTCCTCGTGTGTGATATGTCCCACTCATAAGAGTGCGTCTTGCACATTGTCGGTCATAAGTCTGTTCAGTGGCTCGGAAATTCTTTGGTTATATTCCTGTCTAGTGCAGGGCGCATCCATCAGCCAATCCAAAATTTCAACAGGGTTTTTCTTGATAAAGACTCACAATCTTTGGGCGCAGTGTGCAACACGGATTTCCACAACTTCACCAAAGTTAGTGATGGCCTGTGTGCAAACATCATACTCTTGTTTCTGGACACAGAAATCATTTTGTTTGCTCAATGCCCATGCTATCTGTGCTATTTTTCTTCATAATTGAACACAGTGTATTAATGATTTCAGTCCTTTATTAGAAAGATATGTTAGAAAAGGTAATGATGCAATGAACCCAGCAACTCTCAGATTTTTCTCTATTACCAAAAGAACCCAGTTAAATGCAGTGCATGCATAGTAATTTAAAAATTGTGACTGAATGCAGAATAGCTTTTGCAGAAATATGCCTACCGGTACATGTATTTCTCAAGAAGCACTCTGCCAGTAGAATTTAATGAAATTTTGCATAAAAATACTGTAGGAAATAAGTAACTGGATTATCGAAAAAAGTTTGAAATTTAACTGAGGAAATTCTAGATATTCTAGTTATATTTCTAACTGAAATATCTCATTCTTGATATTTCAGTTAGTCTTAACCTGTGAGCATCATTACAAGGTTGTTGCATGAAAATGATAAAGAAAATCTAATGGCTAGAATGATTATCTCCAAATAAGCAAAACCGATTTTTAAGGCCTGTTTATCTTAATTTATGTTGCCATGCCAGTGGCAAAGAATTATGTCAGTTTGTGTTGTTAACTTCCATGTTGCCATTTTTGGCGACCAAAGGATAAGGGTTTTAGAGAAAAAGGTGAATGAAACACAGGTATCAAAGACAGTGTTTGGCCACCTTGATATCTCAGTCAGTGACTTCATATTGTTATTTAAACTTGGTGTTCTTTATGCAATCATTCTGTTGTCAGATCTATTCTTGAGTTAATGTCTGTTGTTATTCAGTGCTGTATCACATTCAAGTCCCTTCCCCAGTGCCCCTCTTCAATGCACTTCCTGCCACAAGTAACCAAAAAATTTTACAACTATAATGTGCAAAAGTAATGTAAACAATATATGACAAAATTTGCGATTTTCAGGACTGTTCAAATGCACAAAGTAGTTTCTTCAAAAATGAGAAACCCATTGTTTCTACTGATGCAGAATTTCAAGGAAACTTTACTGGGCTCTGCAAAACTTTGCAATAAAAGTTTTGCAGTATTTTGCATAATTTTGTTCAAAAATTCATGGAAAGTCTTGAAAGTTTCTAAGTCACAATTTCATGTCTAGTGTATACAATGTACATATGTACATGCCTTTGACTTACTGTAATACCATCTGGAACAGCATGTGTTAAGAAATGTTTTTTTCATTTGTTTATGCAAGATACATGCTCCACTGTAAGCATGCATCAAAGAGACTTGATAAAAGGTTTGTTGATAGACATTGGAGATAAAAAAAAAAACTGGATATGCAGGATGTGATGATGCTTTGGAGTTGACAATTGCAGCTGTGGAGGAGACGAGTAGGGAATCTTTCTCAACAATGCTTTGCAGCAACTCTGACTAGGAGTCAAACTAATACTCTTGATCCAGTGCACCACCTATTCCAAAAGGACACTGTGGGTAGTGGGCGTATAAAGTTTAATAATGTCTGCAGCATTTTGAAATTTTCGCAGTTAAAGTTTGATTTTATGTGAGTATGATAATTTTTTATAGTTTCATGATGTCTAAGTAGGAGAGTCCAAGAGATGATGTTTTACCCCATTTTTGCTCAGGCATGCGTAGAAATCAAAATTTTGAGATATTTTTTGGACAAGAAAGTGATCTACGTCCTTAGGCTTTTCCTTTTTTATTTATTTTTTTTTTCACCTTTCTTTTTTCTTCTTTTCTTATCTTTTTGCTGCAGTGATTGGCCTTCTACTGGACTTGCTTTCATTCAAAAACTTCTGAAAAAGCATCATCAAGACGGGCAATTTTTACCATGGAGTAACTCGCAAGAAATTTTGCTGCGAGTTTTTCACACATTTTCGTGCATATTTCAGGCTTCATTGAGCCAACCACTCGGATCTGGGTATCATTGGAAAGATCTTTTCCTCCTGCAGAACTTGAGTGTAGATGAGTATAGATGATACGGATGATGTTATGGGTGGCATGGGAGTCAATGGTTAAACCACATAATATATTTATAATATACTGAAGTCTCTGAACATTCTTGACTTTCTTTAGGAAAATGCTGCCTGGGTCCTTGACAAACATTACAGCTGTGTCGAATGTGATACAACTGACCACATCATACCATGGAATGTGCTTAAGACACGCTGCACGAAGTTTGACGAGGAAACTCTTGAAATTGTAATGGCCTATTTACAGAGGCACAGTAAAGCAGTGCTATTCATCGCACCTGAAGGAGAGAAGGTATGAGTTCACTGTGTTATTTGCTGGTCTTGACTTTGCCCAATATTTGAAAATATTGAAATTTAAGTGAATGACTTAAAACGTCAAGGTACATGTCATTTATTGTCGGTATATTGAGACTCTTCTTGAATTTGTAGGTTGTAAAGTTTGCAAGAAAGGGTGAACAGAAAGTGACAGCAGTTTCAGATAATGATATTGACATTGTGAAGTAAGGAGTGAAATTTACCTTCATTTCGTTGCGTATAATATTACTAAATACTTGAAGAATGGGGTTATTTTGATTTTTGGCTTTGAGACTCAGAAGTATAGAAGGAAGTAAAACAAAAGAAATCAGGGAGAGGGCATGCGTGGGCGTAGCGCGAGGCACGCGTTTTAATGCAGCAGTCTACATCCCCAATATTTTCCCCTTCAATGTGAAAGTAATCAATCTTTTTAGTATTAACGAGCAGGGAATGACCCACGATACAATCATATGACTGGAAGAGGTCAAAAGCATAAACGTGGTGAACGCGGCTCCATTGAAGAAGGACAGTCAGATTCCAAGCGAACCAACATGGTGGCTGTCAAAGGCAAAACCTTCACAACAGAACCTCCAACCACCGAAAACCACCAAAAAGAACCCAGTCTAATGTATTTAAGAGAGATGTTGGTAGATATACAAATCGCCCTCAATAATATTCTATTGGAAAACAAGAAAATCAACGAAGACGTAAAAAGAACTAAAATCCACTGTAAACAAACAGCAAACTGAGATTGTAGACCTCAAGAAGCAACTCACCAAATCCAGGACACAGTTTGCAGCTAGGGAGAAACAGCTCAACGATGCGAAGAAATGAATAAATGAACAACAAGAGGAAATAGCAGAGCTTTATGACCTTCAAGACCATTTAGAACAATATACCAGGAAATACTCTCTTGAATTCCATGGAATTCCAGAAAGCGCGTACAACTCCACAGAAGAGGCCATCCTAAAAGTAGCAGAGACGCTAGAGGCTCCTGTCAGCCTCAGTAACATTGAAATTTCCCATAAGTTAAATACTTGGGGCAACAAAGCAATAATTGCAAAATTTATTGGTCACAAAGCCAAGACAAATCTCTACAGAGCTAGAACAAAACTTAAAAACGTCAAACTGGCTGACCTCTTCCCCAACTCCTCCTACGCAACGAAAGTACAGTCGACAAGGATCTTCATCAATGAAAACTTAACTTTCTATCATCGCCACATCATGTCTAGAGCTAACGAGAAACGTAGAGATGGCAAACTAGTGAGTGCATGGTCGATGGATGGAACAATTTACGTGAAGACTTTGCCAGACGGGAGACCCATCAAAATCATCGAATTAGAGGACCTTGAGAATCTGTAGCCTGCTTAGAAGTATTTTGGGAGAGGGGACAGACTCTGTCTGTTGGGAACTGTGACTTATCTCTTTCCCCTACTTGAAAAAGGTTTAGGTCCCTTTGTGTTGTTGTGTGTATTTGTTTGTGTGTGTTGTCTGAATTGTTTATACTTTAGTGAGTTTTTGCATTTTTTTTCTTGTAATTTAATTCCTTTTTTTCATTTCTATCAAGTAATATGAATACGGGTAGTTTGTCCAAATTTGACGTCTTATCATTAAACGTTCGGGGAATCAGAGATCAAATCAAGAGGAGAAGTATATTTTCATACCTAAAAGACCAAAAAGCAAACATTTATTTTTACAAGAAATATATTCAGAACAAGCCAATGAAAATATTTGGATAAAAGAATGAGGTGGCGAGCTATTTTTCTCACATGGCATCACGCATAGTAAATGTGTGTGTATTTTGATTAATCCCTTTGTACAACCAAAAGTTGATTATTCTTATGCCAATGACTCAGGCAGAATAGTGCTTATTACAATCACTCTTAATGGACAAAAACTATCACTGTGCAATATTTATGCACCTAATGGCCAGGTCAATCAACTCCAATTCATGCAAGAGCTCAATACTTGCATAATCGATTAATCAGAGCTCACCTTGCTAATTGTCGGGGGAGACTGGAATTGTACTTTATCAAAAAAAAGATAAGATTCGAAGTGCACCATAGAAACCGTCTAGTTACCGTAATCTCATTCTGATGACAATGGAAATGTTTGACTTAGTCGATATTCAAAGAATGTGACATCCAAAGTTATGCAAATTCACGTACAAATCAAAATCTGTTAAACTTAAATCTAGGATTGACTTTCTCTTAATTGCAAAAAATCTCTCTGGGGATGTAAAGAATTCGGAAATTTACCATGCTATTGCACCTGACCATAAGGCAATTTATATTTTGCTATCTTGGCCCAACAAACCTCCTCAGGGTCCAGGACTCTGGAAATTTAACAACACCCCATTGAATGACATGCAGTATGTGAGTAAGGTTCGTGATACATATGCTTACGCGTGCAGTTATTATAGCTATGTGATGGATAAGAGGCTCTTCCGGGAGTTAAATAAATGAAAATGGAAATCAGATCTGCGACTATTTCCTTTTCCAAAAGTAAAGCAAAATGTATCAGCAACTGAGAACAGGAATTAAGACGTAGAATAGACCAACTTGATGTTATTATCTGCGATAATTTTTCTTCTCCTTACATCGATGGAGTACTATGGGAGTATGACGGACTGAAAATGGAACTTAAGTCAATTTACGAAGAAAAAAGAAAACAGGCAATGTTTAGAGCAAAATGCCGCTGGATAGAAAATGGTGAACACCCAACAAGGTANGGCGCTTATTAACTTTTTCTACCTTCAGGGTGGGCGCTTATTCGAGGTTGGGCGCTTAATCGAATAAATATGGTAATTATAAAACACCAATTTATAATTATTTGTAATGCTTGTATTTTAAATTTTACTTACATGTACTTTTGTTTGTTGTCTCTGATTATGACACATTCTTTGTTCCCAGACTCAGAAAAACAGTGGCCAGTCTTACTCTTCAGGTGAACAAGCTGTCAAATGAAGTGGAAAGGTTAGAGTCCAACTACTCCTTATTGCTACTTACATGTATTTTCATTGGAATTATCTTACTTTAGGCAACTGGTGATCTGTATTTGTAATGAATATGACATTGAAATGAATATACATGTAGGTGCATGGCTATGTGTAGTGACTTGTAGTTTTGATCGTGGATTCACTACACATACTGCATCCTTTTTGATTTGCTAGAGAGAGTTCAATGGTTTTGGTTTTAGAATCCTTGATTGAAAACTACTCTAACTTAAACATTTAGCATCATTTCTAACACTACAGTACAATGCAGCTGTATGTTAATAATGCAGAAAAAGTTTCCACAGTTGCCAAATTGCAAAATTTAAGTCATGCAAAATTTTTTTCTTCCATTATTGAGAAATAAAGAGAAGCCAGAGTTTTTCCATTTAATATGCATGTATGACTGAAGTTTGAGTGCCATTTCTAAAGTAACGTGACAGATGTCTGGTTCTTATTTGTGTAATAATTGTGCTGGTTGATGTTTTATTGATCTTTAAGAAGCAAAATGTAGTTTAGGTTGTCTCGGTAAAAACTCGTTTTTGGTTTTTAATTAAGGTGTAGGTTTCAAGCAGCAAGTTGTGCAAAAGAAGGTTCAAAATCTAAGGTATGGACATGACCAAGACTGTTGAAGATTATGCAAGTTTTAATTGTGTGCACTGAGTCTTTTGGCTTAGATACCTGTATATAGTATACTTAAACAATAGACAGCCAGGCACCTGGGACAAGTGAAGAACACCAGAAAAGCTTGTGAATCAGAAGTGATTAGACAAGTGATTTACGAGCTCTGCAAGGGCATTTCCATCTTCCCAAGCTGGTCTGTAATAATTTAAAGAGAGGGAGATTATTTTAATGACGTGATCAAGTTGTTTATTTTCAATGCATTCATGAGATGATGTGGTAAATCAATTACAGTGGCTGAAACATTGAAAAAACAGGTTATGCTCCACACACAAAACTCGTTGATGAATGGAAAAAGGAAGAAGTTGTTAAAGGAAAAAAAATGTGTTCACAGATTGAGAAATTACTTAGACATGTTTGTCAGGGAAATCATGGCTTGGAATCAGTCATTGCAAAAGACAGTAAGCAACTGCATGAGTAACTACATGGAAAGTTTGCCAGTTCACAAACTTGCAAAGAATGGCAAAGTGAGTCAGCAATTACTTTCAAAAGTTTTGGGATTAAAACATAGGTTCCAGACACTGCTTCTGAAACGTAAAAATGATTGCATGAAAGTTAAGTTTCTCGATAAAGCAAGAAAATTCCAAATTTGGAAAACATGCCTGTCAAGATATGGCTGTCATGGGAACATCAACTTTCAAGAACAATGACATGCCATTGTTCCCAGATAAATATCAGTTAAAGTTGCATAGTTAAAATGGCAGGTTTACTCAACTAATTTAATTCAGTTTCAGTGTAGTAATGGTTATCAGTTGACTGCATCCTGTGTTTTGAGTGTTCAATGTTCGTGTACTACGTGCACGCAGCCAAATACTAAACACTGACATGGTGTCGTGTTGAGGGGAGGGGGGAGGGGTAGTTGTTGATGACTGCATGTAACATGGTGATTTATATCTTTTCCCATGATTCATTTGACAGGCCCTTAAACTGCTAAGAAAGAAGGAGCTTAGACAACGCACACTGGACAAGGCCATATCCAACTTGAACTCATTTGAAGAAATTTTACACAGAATACAAAACGCACACACAGACAAAATGGTGAGGACTGGTCGTGATTCATTTCTAGCAGTAAATGTTTGTCTAAGATTGAATAAAGGGAGCTGCTTTGGAGTAAAGGTTTTGTTGACAACATTGATGATTACTTTAGCTGTCTGCGTGCAGAGGAAGAGTAATCGACTTGTGGCAAGGACAGGAAATTAAAAAAAAATAAATTTCAATCAACTGTCAATACTGTTCAGGTTTCGAATACTAATTACAAATCTAATGCGTCCTTAAAACGATCTGTCTTGAGTTTAGTTTTAAATAAGGCTTCTGATGATGACTGCTTGATGTTTAATGGAAATTTGTTCCAATGTTTTGGTCCTACTACAGAGTATGCCCTATCACCATATGTTTTAAGACTAGCCACAGGCTCGTGAAGGAACTAGTTGTTTGAAGATCTTAATACGCGGCTGGCCCGAGTTCTCATATCTCATTATGTCTTTGATGTAGCTGAGTGTCAGTCCATTAAGGGCCTTATAAGTCAGTAATAGTATTTTAAAAATAATTCTTTAATTGCACTGGGAGCCAGTGTAAACCCCAAAGTATCGAAGATAGTTTAACTTACCAGTTGAACAGCCTGAAGTGTCAAACCTTAGAGCTGCGTTGTAAAATAGTTTGTTTTACTATCATGTACAAAGTTGTTCACGGTAATAAAAATCGCTATCAATATCCCTGCGCACGTTGTGAACCAAACCCGTGTGACGAGCTCATTCTATCGGAATCATTTTAATGATACTGGAAGTACAGCTTTAACAACATATCTTTCAAAGAATGGAATTCTTTATTGTTGATCCTTGCCGACGTTCATAACAGATCAGCTTAATATTTTTGTTACATTTATTAGCACCCGGTTATTTCCTTGATTAGTTTATAGTCTCTTGTGTTTGTTTGTTTGTTTACTTTCTTTTTTGGGGGGGAGGGGGGCGGAGTTGTTGTACACACATTCACAGTGATGGGAGACCTTTGTGAATTATGCTGTATATTGTATATTGAATGTAAACATAGAAACAGAAGGAAAACCCGAAGAAAGTTGACGTGGACAGTTAATTTTTTTTTTTTTTTTGAAATTCATTTCTTCTTCAACTAGTGCTTGCTATTTTCTAACGCTGAACTGACTTACTGATAGGTTATCGAGGCTCTCAAGTCAGGAACAGCAGCACTGAAGGGCGCACATTCAGAAATAACTATTGACGCTGTGGAGGATGTTATGGACGAGCTTAATGAGGTCGGTTAATGTTCAGGTTTTTCTCAGAATAAATACAAAAAATACTAGTAGTATAGTGTGGGATGAGAGAATTGTGCCGTGGAATGTAATACATTGGTGTGACGTCGTAATCTATCGTATCTG